GATATGACCGTGATCAGAGTGAAAAAAACCCGTATGGCAACAGGGGATTAAAAATGTTATGCGACGGTCGGCTTTGTCGGTAACTCCCACATAATACCACAAGACCAATTGGGGAGGGATGTCTGGTCGAATGCATAGGAATTGCGCCATGAATTCGATTTGTATGAAGATTGGGAAGTGCTCACAGTGCAAGTCCAGACTGAATTAAGATAGAAGCGGCAGAGAAGCGGCATCTTTGGAGCTGCAGAGAGGCTCTGGAAAAAAGTTTTTTGCGTTTTTTGCGGTGACCCCTCCACTGATGAAAGGCTAACCATATTACTTCGGAGTTGAGGTTTTTTACGGCTGTTCCACAAACTGTTTTGCAACATCCACTAATTCTTTCACTTCATGAAATAGCCTTTGTCGTAGGTGGAATAGGTTCATCACTCAGACGTTTTCAACGGGAGAAGTTTCAGTTGCGCTCACTTTTCGTCAGCACCGTGACAAAAAGAGTTGGAAGACTTAGTGGGGAATATTAATCAGATGAAGTGAAGGCAGGCCATTGGGAGCGTTGAAATATCCGGAGCAAAATAAAAGTAAGATCAAAAAAAAAATTAATAAAAATTTCACATTCGTACATGGGCGTTCGAAAAAGGCAAGTTTTTCTGAAAATTACCTTAGCTCCTTTTCTTCTTCATTTTGTAGTTTTTGGGACCACATAAGGCCGTGGATGATCCTATTAATGAAATTTTCCCATCACATTAGTACATATTTGGATGTTTCCCTATACTAAACACATGGAGGCATGACTTGTGAGTGGGCGGGGTTTGTAAGGCGGGCGACCGATATAGAAGCCTTGCTCCTTTTCCCCCCTAGCACTTGAGTAGCGAAACAACCCGTGTCCTTCTTTTCCGATCACAAAACCCAAGAGTACATGGCGGCATACGACGGTAGACGAAGTTGGAAAGGCGTGAGTGGAAGGATGGCACTAAGGACCATTTGAAAATCAAATGGGATCAGCCAAAAGTGGCCTAACGTATTTATTCTGAGGAATCTTCTGGAGATCAATATTTCATTAAAAAAACCTTTTGAAGCTCTCTAGTGGTGCCAAAATCTCACTGAGGAAAACCAAAGAATTAAATGTAGTTGAGGAAATTGCTGGAGGTTAAAAATTGGTAAGCCATTTGCAGAGAGCTGCTAAAAACATTATTAATACATTTGCAAGCTCGATCAATGAGTGCAGCATCGGTTGGATGGAATGGAAAGAGCTGGATCGCATGGCTATTTCTCTTCTCTTACATGGCAATCAAAGACTTTCTCACTTCGGTTTGTAAGAAACGATGGAAAACAGATCCTTTCCTAATAGTGAATGGTAGATGATATAGGAGAACCCATTGAAGGAACAAAAGAGTAGCATAGACCTCTCATAGGAAGGACTCGTAGGAAAAACCCTCTGAAAATTGGAAAAGAATGGGTTTCCCATCATAATGACGCTACATCGAACGTCATCCAGCTCGTTCTGACCAAATTACCGACAATTCAATTCTCCTCATTCTCCCACTGGAACTCCTGCATTCAACTAAGCCTCTTCAGACCTCTTGTAATTTTTATTCGCCATCTATGAGGTTTGCGGGGGTGATGTGGCGCTAAATAGTGCTTTATCATAGCAAACGGCTCATTTGTTTATTTATTGTTTGTTTGTTTACTGTTGTTGTCTTATCTTCATAGGGCAAAGGTGGTGTAGTGGCCAAAGCTGCACTAGCACATGCACGGTTCGCGGTTTGAATACCAGATTGATGCCCCCAAGCCAACCAAATTTCTCATTCTTCGGAGGTCGGCTGATTGGTGGAGGCTCGTCTGGAAGATTGAGGTACTGAGCTCTACATCAGCTTGCAAGTCATTTTACAGGCCACAACAATACGTCCCTACGATTCCGAAGTGAAGTCGTATGAGGTGGGGAGGGGAAGATGTTATAATCCCATAACGGGATCAAATAACACCGAAAAATTATATGTTTTAGTTTATGTATCACATTGCTTCCTCTCCTCATGACCTGTTTCGTTATCCATAGATTTAAACACGTCTACAATCGAAGACGGACGAGTTTTAACAACGTTGCAGAGGCTGCTCCATTCGCAATGGAGCGCACATGTTGAAAATGCAAACATCTAATACTGACCCACGACCGCAGTGGAAACTAATTTTTGACTTTTTCGTCTTACTCTATCCAGCTCTTCATGCAATTGCACACGACTGTAATCTCGTCCAAGCACCCCTTACCAAGCTCTTCAATCATGACCCTGATTCTACTACTTTTTGGAAAAATTATATTTCGAGAAAGCCGCGGCTTGTCTCTCTCTCTCTCCGCAACGTTTGCACCACTATTCACCAACACTTCCAAATTTCGACTTCAGAAGGGCACTTCACAATTATCGCCGGGTATCTGCCATCGTGAGAACGTTTTAGTGCGTTATCATGAATAACTACATAAAAATACAGAAAGCTCGTCAGAAAGCTCTTCGTTGGGTCCGATACGGTTCTATGCAACGAAAGATCATCATAGAACGATGGGAGAGAATCACCTACTTCATGATAATCATGGCTTTTTCTTACGTATTATACTCTGATCAAAATGTGCCATAGTTGGCGTTTGGAGAAATCGGGCCAAAAAGGATTCCAAGATACGAATATTCTTGTGAAAGAATGCGTTGGACAATGGGAGCAAATGAGAGAAAAATCACGAAAAAGAACCGATTCGAAACAAAATGTCTCTTCAATCGTCACCAACCACCAACCGAAGGTATGCAGCCAATCGTTTATTACAATAGACAATGTTTTGATTGGTCTGACGAATCGGTTGGGTGACTGGGGAAAAACGTAAGTGACGACCGCCATTTTCACGTAGTTGGTATGCAAATCTGCTGTCAAATGCAACCGTCTGTGCAACCGTTTCCATCATCACAACCACCATCATCAAACCCACTGTTATCGTCTTCGTGGGTCGCCACCCCGATCCCGTTGCTGTCCTTGATAGGAAATGGGCCATAGAAATGAAAACAATCAGAAGGAGCAACTCAGTTAAGGACCAATTTCGTGTACCTTCATTGGGGTGCAGGGCAGAAGTTTTGATGGCAAACAGCTTATCAATGGCGAAGGCAGCACGAAACTCAGCAGAAAGCTGTGAAAGAGCTCATTTGAAGTAAACCTTTCTGAAGTTGGACGAGTTTCTAACGGCGAAGGGAGCAATTGGACGAGATTTAAGGCACTGCAGAGTAATCTGTACTGGCTATTAGCCTATCCACTTGCTGCAATTTTAACAAATGTTATTTCGAATGATATCGGCCTTCATAATACGGCTAAGCACGTCTATTGTTGGGAATCTTATGAGGCTGTAAGCCTATTGCGCCCTATCTATGGCGCTTTTTTCGTTATGTACGAGCACCTGCATGAAAAGAACAAAAAATAAAGCGTTTGGTATGAAACGATTCTATCACGGGATACGCCACGTATTCTGCCTCTGTTCAAACTTCCAGGGTAGATACGTCTATCGTCCCTCATAGCCAGGTGAGAGGGCGAATTTTTCAAAGCAAGGCTTAGATGTATCTCCTACGATTGGCCGATGCTGTAGAACAATTAAAAGTTAGATGGGTGCTAAGCGTTGCCCCTGACCTAACTGTATGTCTTTCTTAAAAGGCAGCCAGTTGGATCCGTCACAGTTGAACTGCTCACTACACTTGACCCATTTCAGTGGCTCATTACGTAATGAGCCTCTGAAAAGGGTCGATGTGTGGCCCCTGATCTTGTCACTCATAGGCCAAACAAGCATAGCGAACCTTCAGTACTTCTTCGTCCCCTTAGGGTTAACCTCGTGCCTTTGCAGGGTCCGCTGTACTCGTCAGTCGCCTCCATTTCCTTCTATCGGATGCATTTTCTGCCGTTTCTTTGGTCTCGTTCCATCTTGACCACGTCCCGCCACCTCTTCTTTGGAGCTCATCATGGTCGTATTCGTAAACTTGAAGCTCGAGTTTCGTCGTCTTCTTATCGGATGGTTCTGTGACCTTCTCAGTACATGTCCGTACCATCGTAAGTGCTACTCTGCCATCTTCAGCAGACATTCGGAACCACAAAAGACTGTCCCCTGTCGCAAATGCTCTACACACTGACCAGGCCCTTGTTTTCGGTGTTTTCATGAATGACATTTGGACCCATGCTCGACAGGCTTTGTTTATTGAGCTCCTCGCAGCGTCCTCCACCCCAACTTGCCATTATAATCCCTGAACCAAAGCAAACTAGTCAGGTTTCTTTTATGCGAAAATATCAGCTCTCATATCCTACAAACTACTTGGTTCTGAGGTCAAAACCAGATTTTTCATTCACTATGCCTCCAACTGTAAACTCAGTTGATGCGCTCTGTTTCGAAATCGCGCTCCAACTTCATTGCAGGCCTGTTTTGGCCTTTCGCCAGGCTTGAGCAGATTTTGCTTCAGTTCCGTGAGCGTTGAAGTTTTCATGTAGCCATATATTTTTATTACAATTCACTCATTGTTTTGCCTTTCTATTTTTGCACCGGTTTTTCACAAAATAGTATTTAACGGATGTTTGCCTGGAATGGTTTTAGTGAGGAGGAATTTTATTCACATTTTATGGTATTATCGGTTGTCTTTCGCTTTTTCATGTCTCCATTTTGCTTTGGATTTATTGTGCTTTTGGAACTATATCCGCTTTCGCCCATATGAATTTCTCACGCAGAACTAATCAGGACTAAATACATATTTGACTGGTCAATTTCATAGCATTTGGATAGGTCTGAGTTATGTCGAGTGTAAGAGAATTTCTCCTTTGCCAACACAATCTTCCTCATTCTATGCTTTGAATCGTGTTTTCAGGGTATTTAAAAAAGAATGAGTGAAATCCTACGGTACTTGTGTGAGGTCGCCTCCGGGCAACTTCCCATGAAGGAAATCACTCATGTAAGTTCCTTTATCTTAAACAATTGTAAATCTTGACTTTATTTTCGATTCATTTTTATATTTCAGAATAATGAGAAATATTATGCTTTCGGTGATCGAGCTTATCATAAGGATACTGAAACAAACCTTCTTGTAAGTTAATGTTACAGCTTGATTTGAACGTCATTATTTTGTCCACTGAAACCTGGTATCTGCAAGATTTCTCGGTGTTTTTGCTTCTGGGACGATTGTTTCGGGCGCTGTCCTCTTACAACAGGAACAAAAATTCAGTACGGGAATCTCTTCAGCGACCTAGCCATGAAATAAAATGCTATACCGAATCCCGCTGGCTGAGAGCTCTCAGAGTTTTTTTTTTTTTGAATGCTCAGTATTTTTGACAGCAATTTATCAGTTAACAATTGAAGGGTAGCTGAATTAACACCTTCGAGAGGGCCGTTTACCAAAGGAGTTAGCTCTTAACTTTGGCTTTTTACCTAGTTGGGGAATGTTTGTCATTTCTTCTTTTCCCCAATTCACTTAGTAATGACTTTGCCCTTTCCATCATTGATTGTCTACATTTTACACAAAATTTTGGCTTTCTACATAGAATTGAGAACAAAAATGTTTGTTTGATGACTCCAAAGGGGATGCTATGTTTAGCTGTTTTCATGTTTTTCTAGTTTATAGCGGTATTTTGATCGAGGCTTTTGAGGTGTACGGCAAGCAGAACGATTACTATACAATAGATGCTCTTTTGTTTCTTTGGGAGCATCGCGCCAAAACACATCCTTCATATGTTCGTGATGCTACTGCTGCGAATGTGAAAGTCGTTTCTCGTCCAGATAGGTGAAGGGTAATTTTTCATTTTTCATTCATTCTTCTTGCTGTGAATGTACATTTTTCAGAAGAGAAATCCTCGACTATCTGAGTGGTAATCGACTGGAAATTCCTGCAAATCATAATCCATCACATGCCCCAGCTCCCGGTATCGCCATCAGCCGACTTGTTCCAGAGACGAGTGAAGAACCCGAGGCCAAAAAACTAAAACTGGAACATAATGCACGGTGCGTATTTATCAGATAATTTTTCAGCAAAAGAAATGCCTGTAAATCTTTTAGCTTTGCAATTTTATGAAATAATTCTCATCCATTTTGAACCTTTTTTATACGGACTGGTCATATAAGCTTCGTTGAGATTTATGAAAAATAGCATTGTGGTTTTTACATTTTTCTCAATATTAGTCCTTGAAAAGTTATCTCACAAGTCGAATTTATAGTTGGACGCAACGATTTTTCCTAGTTGAGGATGAGTTTAGTCTTCGTCATCCTTTTCTTGCCTTGTTTCAGGCCACGTGTGGATCAATTACTCAATAAAGAACGCGTTGATCCTTCGGAAGTCCGAGCTTTAAATGAATCGCTTACCGCTGATAAGATTGCTGCTCTTAAGCAGAAAAGATTGACTCATCAGAAGACTAAGATTGCTGCCGTTGATCCGTAAGTCCGCTATGTTTTCAGAATGGTTGTTTGCTATGTAGTCCTTAGATCATGAGTTTTCTTCAGTGAGATGATGGCTGGTGGGGCACCAACGGAACCCCTTGTTACGCGGTATGCAATGGATGTACGAAAAGTGGAACGGGTGTACAAGACTCGAAAAAGTGTGATGAACGCTACCAAAAAGACGTATACTTTTCTATTCGATGTACTGAAGCTTATCAAGGTACGTCTGCATTTACTGCTCACATTTCCAATTAGTTGATGACCTCATCTCATTACTGTTTGTAGTCTCGTGAGGAAGCCGCTAGGTTGAAAGAACGGGGAATCGATTCGACAAAAGCTCAACCGGCTAAATTTGTTGGGATGTATAACCGATATGATCAAGAACGTTTCGGAAAGGTGCGTGATTGCTGTCATTCGACCAGTGGCTCGATTTTTTTTTGATCTATCATTTGTTTGCATTTCTTAATCCTGTTTCTGTTAGCTCAATGAGTTTCAAACGATGGGGACATCATCATTTGTTGGAACAAATCTCAGTTCTATAAGTACACTGGAGAATCGGCCCTTAGACGGTAAGCATTGTTGTGTTCCCGAGTGCCGTTCCTTTTCTTAAATGGTCCTTAAACTAGAAGGCTCAATTTGTATGATAATTCGTTGCTAATTATTGCAGCCTTGGAAAATCATAAGCCAGAAGATACAGCAAGAAGAACTGCTTCGGCTACAACAATACCGCAGACCATTGGTACCCCTGATGAACCAAAGAAACGAATTAGTCGTACACCAATCATAATCATACCGTCAGCGATGACTTCTTTATTAACTATCTTCAACGCTCAAGATATAATTCAAGTGAGTTTCGGAATCTTCTCTTCATTTTTTCAATTTTTTGTAGAGTGTTAGTTCAGGATATGAACTTTGTGACAACAGAGGAGAAAAGGAAAGAGAAAAATATGCAACGGAAATCTCAAATATATATTCAGAGGAAGAAAAATGACACTACAGATGAGTTCCCTATCCTTTTTGGTGACTTCGTTGAGTTTTTGTTGATTTATTTGATGCTAAACTTGCGTCAATAGAATTGCTTTTATGCCAAGGATGATTTAATGCCCGAATTTTTTCTGCTTTTCATTACACGAATGTCCGAACCCTTTTAAAATAATCTGAATCATTTTTTGTTCACTACCCTACCTTATTGTGGATAACCCGAATAAGTTCACCGACGCTGAATGGGACCGAGTTGTCGCTGTTTTCATAACGGTACGTTCTACAGCATTCTTTTCCTCAATCATAGTTACAGGTAATGTTTAGGGGCAATTGTGGCAGTTTAAGCCGTTTAAAAGATGGCACAGCAATCCAGTAGAGATATTCGCAAAAATTCCCGCATTCCATGTTCATTATGACGATCTTAATGTGAGTTTCCTACTTTACTTGTTCTTATGCTGAGCTTGTAACAATAGAAGTTCGATCTCAACTAACTGCTTCTTAAGAGTTTCATTTCAATCTCGTTAATATTCCACAAAGCAGAAAGTCACCATAACTGAAGCATTAAGGCTTGCACAAACACTAAGACTGAACCCAAATTTGTCAGTAGCTAATGAATTCGCTAGTATTTCCCGAAACACTGAGCAATTTTCAATGTGTACTTGATGATTCTTGGGGCCATTGCAGAGGCCATAATCAGAAGGTACAGTTCTGATCTCATGTAAAAATTATTTCTACCTTTTTTTGAGTCTGTTTCTAATTCGCTGAACATCTTCAAGCGTGATGATAGCTTTTTTGATTTTTGTTTTTTAATGAATCTAAGTCGTTTTGTGCAGGGTTGACCAAGCCTATGGTCGCCCCTCCTCTGCCAAGTTTCGCTTTTTTCGGGGCGTCCTTCAAATGAAAAGAATGAGTGTTGTTCGAAGTGGTTCGAATTTCTCTGATTCAGTTTGAGCTGCGGTGTTCATCGATTGATTTTTTCTCTGATTTAGATTGACCCAAATGTGGCTAAATGGAGTGTGACACGGTTACCAGTTTCGCGATCAAAGCGGCATATGGATAAGGCCAGATTCAGAATATTCTGGGAAGTGCTCGACCGATGGATTCCCGCTAATCGGCCACATTTGAGATGGTGATCAGTAAAGTGTTGTGGCATCAAGTGCGTACAGTATTGTTTTTATTTTATTTATGGAGTGAGTCAGTAATAAAAAAGTATGAACCTCGTGTGATGCAATGTTATTCGAATTCTTTGGTGAACACAACTTGCGCAGTACGATTTTCACCAGCTGATGGAAATTTGCAAGTCTTTCAATTCTACCCTTACATATGCATGTTGTGGGAGGCCTTTCATCATCGATTCGATGGCCTCGTATATTTTGTGATTCCCAGACCGTCTTAAAGATGTTTCGATTATAGGCATGTGTGGATAGCTCAGCAAATACTTGACATCATATCTTTGTCACACTATACTTTTTTATTCAAATGTTTATCATCATTTTGTGATGATTTTCGTAGTAAACAAAAGAAACATTTGTATCCATGCAACCATTAAACTGCTTTCACTTCCTCCGCTTTCCTGGAGCTTTTGGCTGCTTCTTTGTGTCTGCTTTTTTGCCAGATTTCTTACGTTTCTTTCCGCTTATCTTGGATTTTTGTTTCACCTGCGGTACGGCTTTTGGTATAGGTTTGGCTCCTGACCTTGGTGGCATCCCCTTTGGTGGTGGTGGAGGTGGTGGTGGTGGGATAGGCTCCTTGTTAGCAGCCTCGACGGCATGTTCAGCAGCCAAGGGGTCGATAGATTCGTAACCGCCGTCGTCTAGTGGCTCTAGGGAGGAAGTTTTGTTAGATGGACGGGGTTCACCTGGAAGAGGAGGAAGACTTTCAAAAGAAAGAGGAATGCCTTCTCGAGAAGGGGGACCTTCGTCACGTGGTCGATGACCTTCGTGAACAACCTCCTTCGGACCAATAAAGGAAGCTCCACGATCACCTTCTCTTGGACCAATAAGAGAAACGTCACGTTGACCTTCTTTCGGACCAATAAGAGATGCTTCAGCCGACGGCTGACGAGCAGGAGCTAAGTTCTTTGAAGTGTCTAATTCATCTTCACGAGGCCGACCTTCTGTTCCATAGTCTTCATCTTCTTCCTAAAGCCGAAATAGAGACGGACGTTAGATCTGACAAACTTTTCCTTTGCTTCATAGGCTAACTTTGATCTCTCACGCGCCTTGATGACGTACGCGTAAATTAGGCGGTGATTGAGAAGCGCGCGCAAAATCAATACCCGTTTTAGTACACGTAGGATGGAGTGAGCTTCGGGAGGCATGTAGACAGGGCATCATTGCATGCATGTGTTCGTATTGAGCACTACGCAATAATTCACAATCAATCCATTGTAAATTAACGAAAAAAAATGACATTTTAGAGAAAAAAAGACGTTATTCTGAGAATTCCTCAAACAAATCGAGTAAGTTCAATATCAAGGAAATCTCTAAAGCAATTTTTCCCTAAGTGATGTCTTTTTTTGCTTATTATCATCTAGATTGATCAACCTCTCTGGATCTTTTGGAGTAGTTCAACAATCTGCTTCGGCGCTTGCTTTCCCATGACTGGAATAAAATGCAGGAAATCCCGAGCATGACCAGCGGCACGACACCACCTATGAGTGTCACGTAGAAGACGGCAGGATCATCTTCTTCTTCCGACTTTCTGGAAATGGAAGGATGAAAATCAAATTGGAATTGGAATAGGGAACAATCAAAGATTTAGAGCTGAATGCGCCATATACGAGGCTTTCGTTCTGAGCCATTGTAAGATTTGGAAGATTTAATACGAGCAGAACCTAGACATGTTACCGTTATTCAAATCAGTGAACCCAGCTACCAATCTATCCTGAATTCAACTAGAGGGAATGAACAGTGGGCGTTATGCGTGTCATGCAGCGAGACAACTAACCAAGGCAACCAACTAACATATGTCGCGCGACGAGGCATCTAACCAAAAATCGTTGCGCCGTGTCTGAATCTGAATAGAATAACGCCGCACACACAGAAGGAGAAGGATGATTGGTTCACCCAGTAGATGGAAGTTGGTGTCAATTTTTGACGACTTAGAGTCGATCTTTACAATAACTATTCATTTTCTCAACGGAGTCAGTTATGATAGGTTTCCCATCCTATGCTATCTCGTCCGCTCCGAAGTGGCGGCTTGTGGTCGACACTGTGTCTACGATACTGTGAGGTTGCTACATGACCAGAATCGGACGTAATGTCGCACCAAGTGTGCCTAAAGTGCACGCAGCCGCGCGACGAGTCGGATCTATGACGGTAGTAGTAACTAGTTTCCTAATCTGCCTTTCAGTATTTCCCCGTTTGCCTGCTTACCATACAGGTAAGGTTGGTCAGGGATGGGAAATAATCATCCCTTACCCTTCACCGCTCTATAGTCCCGTTTTTCGAGGAAACTTTACCACTCTGCGCGGTTCATCGTCTGTCATCGTCAGTTACACCGCTTGTTCCTCCGACTACGAGGGTAGGCAAAGGAGAAATGTAGATGGTTTTGGAAAGTATAGGACCTTATCGATCATCTAAACGAAAGAATCAAAATGATTAACTGTTCCGTTTCTTTTTCCTCCGTCTTCTTCTCTTCCTCTTCAGGGACGTACTTTTCTCCTTCTAAAAAATCAGTATAAATTAACAGTTTATATTGCGCCATGCAACTGACTTTGTGACAGATTGGTTTAGACATTTGTAAAGGATAAGGGTATATTAATTGCTCTACAGTAGGTAATCAAAGACAGCGTGTGACATTCCTCCACTGATGGTATTTAATGAATTCACAAGGATTCAGAGCTTTTTTGGCCTCTGTAGGAACTCATCTTACAGGCCGAATGCTTCACGTTTGCCAACCTGGTTAGATTCTTCCTAAGGCCTTTCGTCCTCGAAATGCTAGTTTTGGTAATTTTTGAGTCAAAACGATTGCGGCCAATGATTCTGATGAGTCAAATAGAGATTCGTGGTGATCTACGAGGTCGAAAATTGGATTTTGCCTAATCAGAGCTTTTCTAGCCATCAGTAGGTTCCCCTTATTGGGGACTACACATTCTCAGCAAGCATTCAAACTTTTTAGCGGAACCGTGGAAGCCGAATGTATGGCATATCATTGAGAACGATTAGATCTCCAGCATTATCTGCGCTGAATCAGATGGACGGGTGTGGTGCAGTAGGATCGGAATTGTCGCGTTGCCGCGAGAGGGACGCCGCGCGCGAAGGAATGTAGCAGAGTACAGCAGGGGTAAGAAATGAAGGAATAAAAGAGCTAACAGTAGAATCATGTCTAAAATAATGATCGCATATCGACTGAGCTGTATGAAAAACGCCAGAGCTGTAATAACAGCGGAGCGAATGGTCTGCGACAGCCGCGTGCGGCGAATCGACTACACGAAACCGATCCTACTGCTCGTCTCCCCTGATGGACGGGTGATGGAGATGCCTTTCTGAGGCTGAAGACTCTATTCAGCCCAATTTCATATCTGTCCTTAAAAAGATAATCAAGCCTTACCAACGTATTCAATTGGGAATTCATCGAACAAGCATTGATCAATCATATCTTCTTCAGTTCGGTTCGGTCTGACAAGATCCTCATTATACTTCAAGTAGATTTGTGTCCACAGCTCACGACGATTTAAATTTGAGTTGAAAATATTCTGAATAAATTTTAAATAAGTCGCACAGGTACGAAAAACAGGTAAAAGTGCTGATCCCCTTAGGAAGTCATACACAGAGCCAATATGTCTGTCAACAAAAACGCCTCTACCAGGTTTAGCTACAAAATACGACCTTCCCTTCATTCGTACCCAACGCTCAAGGAAGTCCAGTGTGGAAGGGATGAGGGTATCACAGAGTTTAAGCGCTTCAAAAGGAGAAAGTATAAAATCCTAGGGCGTTGATCAATCCAGTCTGATGGATACGACAATTGATTCGACTTCCATTCAAAATCGTAGCGACGTATTGGATGGTGTCCTGCCTATACAATGACTTGCGGTGGCCAGCCGATGTACATGTCAGTGCTTTTATCTTCCCAGACGAGTCTGGTACCAATTGACCAACTCCGAAGGGACGAAGGCTTGTTTGACTTGAGCGGATATCGATCCAAGGTTCAAATCTGTGACCATGCGTGTTTGTTAGTGCGCCATTACATCTGCCCATGGTAGTACAAAATAGTATTACAATTACATTTGAACAATAGAAATCCCTGCAGACTAACAGGATAGCTTGGCCAGGTAGCACTACTACGGCTGCTGCCACTACACCACCTTCGCTACTGGTGGTGATTGTCCTAGTTTAAGTACTTTAATCACTAGAATTGATCGACTTTTGAACGACTGGTGTGGTATTTCTTTCCCTAAACGGATACAACTTCATCTGCCACTTCGTATTTATTTTTGGTAGAGAGCATCTAAGGATATTGAGACAGTAATGAAGAAGACAAAGAACATCCGGCTCCGCGTCCATCTTTTCGAAATTGTGGTCCTTCCTGCTTTGAAGTATGCCTCGGGAACCTACTCTACGAAAGCAGGATGAGCATGCTGTCAGCGTTACTCAACGCGCTTTGGAAAGGAAGATGCTCGGAATTTCTCTACACACGCAAGTGCAGAAGGGAATCCAGAGTTCCGAGCTCCGTCATCGAACGANGATCAGGGATGCCATTGATTACGCCGAGAAATCGAAGATCAGGTGGGCCGGACACGTTATGCGATATAGCGATGACCGTTGGACCAGAGCCATTACGGACTGGTTCCCTCGAGACGTCAAGCGAGCACCAGGACGGCCGCCAACGCGACGATCGGACTTCTTCATGAAAGCTGTGAATAAATGGAATGATTTGCACGGTGTCACTCGAGCGATGATGGGCCACAAGAGGGAAAATGGAGCCCGCTCGAGGAAATCGATGATCAAAGGACGACAGGTGGTACAGGTGATGGGTGTATGTGTCGACGGATGTATGGGTGTATGCGCGTCTGTACGTGTGTGTGGTGTGCATCGTTTTCTAACTTGACTTAGTTCTACCATGAAAAGAATCCGAGGGCGATGAGGAACCATAGATCTAGCCGTTGGTTTGAAGTCTCGTGGGTTAATCTCGTCGTTGAGGTCCGAACAGAGGAAAAGGAAAGAAGCATGGAATAGCCAACTGGCCAACTGCTCCTCAGATAGCTTAAATGTGTCACGACTGAAATGCTTGAAGTAGCTTACCATAATGTTTGGTACGTTTGAATTGCAGCCATCTTGTATGCAAAAGCATGTGGTCGATTCGGAGAGAATTACACAAAAATTTTCCAACTAAAATGATGATTAATATGGGTAAATCATTATGATGCGAAGCGGAACCTATCAAAGCTCTCTCAATCAAATCAAATGATGCCCTAGAAAGATGCCATCTTTCATTTTATTTCAAGCCCTCCTGTTATAAAGGTTTCTCTTTAAACTTCATCTACAAAGGCTTAGTTCACGGTGATTTTGAGGGGATCAGTTCAGGACGAATAATGGAAGTGTTTACTCAGAAAAGTGCAGAAGTGGCGAAGGAAATGTGGGAACCAGCGTACTGAGAAAAGTATAAGGCTGAAAATCGTGAACTGTGCCTTTAAGACCTCCCCAGTGGGACATTGGTTCAGGTTAAAAAAAGATATTGATAACAGACTGCAGACAGTACAAAGTTTAGAAGGCATCAAGCTACAGGGAAAGATTCGCATCAGGAAAGACTGGGAAACGAAGAACCTTGCCCTTTGCTGCTGTCCTTAAATCCTTCTTGGACCCAAATTGAGCATAGCCGGTTTCAATTTTCGTAACATGTCCTCCATCGCGACAGAATCCGGCATTATACTGGAAGGTCATCGAGCAGTAAACAGCTACTGCCGATTTAGGATAGTCGTAGTCCTGAATGACATTACAATTTGAAAAAGGCAGCTATTTCTGAAGCAATGTCAAGATAAGAAGTTTTGCACAAATATTTGGTTTTCGAACTTCAGACTGGACAACTTCTCAGTGTTTTCTTATCATACCATTGAATCTCTTACCTATGCCTAGCTATTGGGTTGTAACATAAGTTCGTAGAGTTTTGTGTTAGGGTCATTTTACAACGACTCGCTTTGTTTTTTGGCGAAGTGTATATATTCATTCGAAAGAGCTCTTTCTCCTCTATGAAATAGTTTTATTCGTTTTTTTTGGATAGTCTAGTTGTACGTCTTTTTTCTGGCTCA